AGCCAAATTGGCTGCTGAAAATGTTTAGCTTTTTTTGAGAGACATAATCGATAGCCAGTTCATTGTCGAATATAAATATAATCGACAGTATATTACTGACGAATATACCTATATTCGGCAGTCAGATGGCTGTCGAATATGTTTAGCTTATTTCTGGCAATCATAATCGACAGAAATTATTTTGTCGATGATAAATATAACCGACAGTATATTACTGACGAATATACCTATATTCGGCAGTCAATTGGCTATCAAATATGTTTCGCTTATTTTAGCAAACATAATCGACAGTGGAATTTCTGTCGATTATACATATAATCGATAGTTATGTCTGTCGATTATATATCATAACCGACAGATATAATTTCTGACGATTATATGAATTTTCGACTCTCATTTTTTCGATCGAAATTACTGTTGCTTATGTCTGTCGGTTATAACGACAGAATAATTGTTATGATTGACAGTATTGACTGTCGAATATACTGCGTTTTCTAGTAGTAAATAAAAAAATCTTAAAAATGGTGTTGCTTTAAACATGATGATGGATAAAGAAATTGGGAAACCTAAACACATGGAGGTTTTGAGAGTAGAAAAGTTTTCTCTACAGCTTTGTCAAGCACAAAAACCATACAACATCAACCAATACTATAACGTTAATATTTTTTCTTCATAAAAAATATTAAATCTTTACTCTTGAAATCACTATTTAATTCTATCATTATTGAAAAAGAAAGAAACAAAATCCCAAGATATATTTGCCTCACTTTTCACATAAACAAGTAGAGTCTTTACCTTTTTTAACGCTTCAATATTTATCTCAAACTTTAGTAGAGAATCTTCCACACGGGGTTTGAGACAAGTCATCCTCAAACGCTTTCTCTTACCAATCTTCATCTCTAATATAGCCATTGCCTCTTTATTATCAAGGCAAATTAATCATGTTTGAACCTTATTCACATTCAAGTAATACAACATAGCTTGACCATAGTCATCATCACCAAGTTTTCCCATTAAAGCAACTTTACCACCTAAGCTTGCAAGAGCAAGGGCAATACTTCCTATAGATCCTTTAAGGGGCTTTAACGAATTTTTCTAGGGCCCATAATGCATACTTCCTTCTATCATGCAATTCATAATTTATGAGTCTATTACATGGCCTCCCTAAGGGCACAAAAGCATGTTGGGCAGCTCCAAAGCAACAAATAAGTCAAGGCCAACCATATGTGTAACAAATATCAACCTTTTCAAGAATCCCCAGCTCTAGATCATCTTTGCCCTTGTCTCCCACATTCACAACAAAAGGAGCCTCCTTTGTATCATTGTTTTCAAATTTGCTGCTTTGTTCTAACATATCATCATCCTTAGTTTTTTGCCTCTTGAACTTTTTCTTCATTTTCTATTCCTCTTGACTAGCAAAAGCCAATGTTATCGAGAATGATGAAAGCATTAGTTTAGCACTTATAAGTAGTTTTGTATGAGGTGCAAGTATAAAGCATTTTGATAAAACACTAAATCACGTTTAGTTAACAAAATGATTATTCCTTTGACAAATTATAAAAATAAATTAAATTAATAAAGAATACACATTCCATGATTGCATTATTTTTCTTTTAGTAAGTTAAAAGGAGGGAATTCTTAATGACCCCTCCTATAGGAATTAGCTATTCCTTTCCTTGTCTAACTCATTAGAAGAAAATTAATAAAAGTATGAATTGCCACTCCTTAATAGCATTTATATTTATTTAATTTAACTTTTTTTTATAGTTTGACTAAAGAATGGCCACCACCCAACCAAACATATATGAAGCCAATGAGCTAGGGTTTTACTTTTCTTTTAAGCCTTCTATGAAAATTTCTTTTTATCTTCACTTGATGTGAGCAAGAGACCATGCATATACTTTACTTCAGCTACTACCATAGATTTAGAATTCTCGTCATGCGTGCAATCTTTGGAATTCTTTCTAGTTCATTTGATAGTTATAAATGCCTTCTTTTTAACAACTACCTCATTTTCACTTTTCTAGTTCATTTGGTAGTTATAAATGCCTTCTTTTTAACAACTACCTCATTTTCACTTTGTATCTCCTCTTCAACAAAATTTTTCAAAATTTTTCTTTCTCAAGATAGCTATAAGACCCCAATTACCTTGCACTCTAAAATGATGAAAGTGAATAAAGCCTGGTGAGTGGTAATAAGGCCACTTTGAATGCCATCTGCATGATAGAAAAAATCAAAGATAAATAAGTATTACATAAGCAAACTATGACAGTTAATTAATATAAGTGAGAAGAAAGCTTAATTTGTAGATTCAAGTGTAAAAAAAAAAGAAAAAGAAAAAACAAACAAACGAATGTCATGTATAAGAACTTCTAACAATATTAGTAGTATATCCCATTAATCTTCCATGGTTCCTCTAACCCCTTTCAAAAAAAGTTCTAAAAATAAAAATAATAAATAATAAATAATAAATCTTCTTAGCCTAAAAATAGGAAGACTCTGGTTTTCAAATCATATGTAATTATAATATCTTAAAAAATGAAGCAAAATGTTAACAATGTATGAGGACAATTTGAATACGACATTAGTGAAAGGTGATTTATTCAATTTGAAAATATAAACAAAGCAATGGTGAACTACATTTCTCAATTTAATGGTGAAATGTTACAAAAGCAAGAGAAAGAGATGGTGAGACTCAACTTGAGCAAAGATAGCAAAAGAAAGTGATGTAAAGAGAGCAAAGCCATTGGAGAAGTTTTTGGACATATTCTAAACTTGTTTGACATGTATATGTGCTTGTGACTATGGAGTAAGTGGACCTAAACTTAAAGCTTGGGGTATTCAGTGGACCTTTTGGGGTATTTAGTGGATCTTTGTACAGTAGGGTTAATACTATGATTAGCTTCGGTACAATGTTGCTAGCACACATCAGTGGACTCCATAGCATTGTGTGATTTTCGGTTTTATGCATTGCGCTTGTAACATCGTATTTGTGATAATATGATTTTAGTATATGACTTTAATTTAAATGTCATTGATTATTCCTTGACATGTGTGATTATGATTTGAGATATTAAGTTATTATTTAAATACTAGGAATTATAATATTATGTGGTTTGGTTCCGTTGTATCTCATGCTCTTTATGTGTATAGGTCTAGGGGTCTTAAAACCCAAGTTTATAGCTTAAACTTATTACTTACTAGGCTTTTAGCTCATAAAAT